GGTGTACGTACCCTCCACATCCACCATAGCTACAGATCTGTATCTCGCTGGTCTGAAAAAAAAAATTAGGATGGACGACCAGAGAGCTACAGTGCCACACATTAAAAAGAATTTTACAGTATATTTATTGTGCACAAAAAGTGCACTGTTTCAAAATCTAAATTTATTTTTCAAACTATGTATTCTTAACGTATTGTTTTCTTTCCCACTGAACAAAATATTCCTTAATACAGTTGTTAGGTGCTGGCCTCGGGGCCATAAAAATTAGCAGAAATCACTTTTGGTCTGAGTGTCACTTTTTTAGCAAAGGAATATTGTTAGTGAAAAAGTGAGATTAAGCTCGTTTAAGTTTTATGGCCCAAGCCCTGGACCTAAAATTGAAAATATCGAAGAAAAAAAAATTCGCCTGTTTTTACTGCCATTTTGGGTGGCAAGACAATTCGATTCAACAGTCTTCGTACAGATGTAAACCATGCAATAATTTAATAGACGTCTATAAATTTGTTGAAATTGATTTTTGCAGTAGATTGATTGTTTGTATGTTGTTTAACGTGTTTCTCGATAGTTTTCACTCATATGGAGACGCCACCGCTTGCCGATGGAGAGCTACAAATTTTGTCTTATGCACTTACGGCGGGGTTTTTTTGTCCCAGCACGTACTACCTTACGTGACCTCGGTTTATACGCTCTTATCCGAAGGTTCGGTCTCCACGTCCCACATTGGGATTCAAAAAATCGATTCCTTACTTTGCGACTCTAAGTCGCAGAGGTGGAAGACTATATTGTTGTTTTATAGACTATAAAAAAGCATTTGATTTTATAGATAGGAGCAGCCTGTGGGTTAAGTTAATAAAACAGGGCATTGAAGGAAAACTATTAAAAACAATAAAATCACTATATACCATTGTTAAATCATGTATTAAGTCAAATGGTGTGATGTCTGAATTTTTTGAAAATAGAGTTGGTCTATTACAGGGTGAGGTGTTATCACCAATATTGTTCTCTCTTTTCGTGAATGATTGTGAATTACATTTTATAAGAAACAACTGTCCATCTTTTGAGTTCAATTTACTCAACATGTTCTTGCTTATGTATGCTGATGATATGGTACTAATGGCTGAATCTGCTGATTCACTGCAGAAATTGTTAGACTCTTTACTTTTATATAATCAAGAATGGAAGTTGAAACTTAACACTGAAAAAACAAAAATTGTTGTGTTTAGAAATCAAGGAAATGTAAAGATATCTGAAAAATTTATGTACGAGGATAAAGAACTTGAAATTGTCAATGAATTCAATTACCTAGGTATGCTTTTTAATTATAATGGGAAATTCAATATCACTCAGAAGCATGTTGCCGATCAAGGTCGGAAGGCATTTTTTGCAATTAACTCAAGAATGAATAATTATTATCTAAACATAGAAACAAAATGTGCAGTTTTTGATACATATGTGAAAAGTGTTTTGTCATATGGAGCTGAAATATGGGGTTTCCACAAGGCTAAAGATGTTGAAAAAATTCATAGTAATTTTTGTAAGAAAGTCTTGGGTGTGAAATTATGTACTCCAAACAATATGGTATATTATGAATTAGGCAGATTACCTTTGTATCTTTTAAGGAAACTTCAAATTTTGAAATATTGGCTTAAACTTAAAAATACAAACAACTGTATATTGAAAGCTTGTTATGAAGAAAGAGTAAGGAATAATGACAAATGGTTTACTGAAATTAAGAATGAATTTGATAAGCTTGGTTTAAGTTATCTCTTGTTTCAAAACTTTGACACTCGTAGAGAATATGTTATTGTTAAAAAGATTCCTTGATGTGTATAGTCAAGAAATCCTTCATAGTATTAAGATGTCTACTAAAGGAAAGTTGTATCAACATTTTATAGACCATTTTTGTTTACAGAATTATTTATCAAAACCTATTAAACATGCATACAAAAAATGTATTACAAGCATTAGACTGTCTAGTCATAAATTACGGGTAGAAGAAGGTAGATATGTTAATGAAAACAGAATTAACAGAAAATGCTTATTATGTGACTTAAATGATGTAGAAGATGAATTCCATTTTATATTGAAATGTCCTATTTATCAAGATCTCAGAATCCAATATATAAAACAGTATTATGTTAAGAAACCTAGTGTCTTTAAATTAATTCAACTGTTAAGTGTACAAAATGTTAAAGAAATGTCTAAATTGGGAAAATTTTTGTTCATTGCTTTACAACGAAGAAAAGATTTATTAAACTGTTCATAGCTCATGATATGTTATGTAAACATTTATTATACAATTGTAAGATCTGAATATATGTATACCTTGTTTGTAATACAACCATTATGTACATGTATCTGTCTGATATGCCGTTTGGCATAAGGAAATAAAGAATTGAATTGAATTGACTCTAGAGCAGACGCTCTAACCTCTTTGTCACGCAACTTCTTCAGTATAGGAGCATGTAAGAATTTTGAGAAATGAATTTTTTGAATCAAGACACGAGCGAAACTTTTAATTTTTTGTGCACATTATATAATAGTTTTTACTACGGTTGGTACTGTAGCTCTCCGGTATGTCAAATTTTTTTTTCGGTGAGCTACAGTTCTGCAGCTACAGCCCAACGAGTTTCGGAGAATTTTTTTTAGATACCAAAATTAATCAAAAATTCATATGTACATGTATTACTTGTTTGATAGGAATTCATATCTGTTATCATTTTTTAACAGTATACATGTATAAAAATAATAATTCTACATGCCATCAAGTGCCAACTTCTAAAACTTAATAAAATTAAATCAGATATCGAAATATATGAATGATACATATGTTTTGTAATGAGTATTCCTGTCATATAAAAATTATCAAAAGCTGTTGAAGGGGGATTGGCTGTTTCAAGATCCATTCATAAGGTGCATTAGTGAGTATATGGAGATAGCGAACAGTATTCAAGCTCATCAATTTATTCGAACAATACAAATCAAGAGCAGAACAAACACAGTCCTCTAAACCATCAGAGATGGGATCAGATGCCATGGAGGAGCGAGCATCCCCTGACGACCGGTCACACCCGCTTTGTGCTCCTTGTTACTATCGGGAAATTACTGAAAAATCTGTCAACAATTCTCTATGTAAATATTTATAATGGGCTAAAGATTAGTATGAAAAAGACAGACTTTTATACAAGCTTCAATTATACCTCATCGTTAAATTCTGAATGTAAATTTTATATTGTACATAGGTCATGCCTTTAAAGCTGATAAAATAATGTATTGTTTTGAAGTTAGGGCACTTCTATATTAATGTTTCGTATAACTTCTATTTTCTATGTAATGCACCTGGATCGATAGATCCGGGGCGTATATTGCTTTTGTCCTGTCTGTCTGTCTGTCTGTTTGTCTGAATTTGTCTGTGTTTTCTATATAATTAACGGTACTATGATTCTTTTTTTTTTTTTTACATTTTATCACAAAATTGTCATAAACCATCATAGACCTACATGAAGTAAAAAAAAAAGAATTTTATTATGCACCTGGATCGATAGATCCGGAGCGTATATTGCTTTTGTCCTGTCTGTCTGTCTGTTTGTCTGAATTTGTCTGTGTTTTCTATATAATTAACGGTACTATGATTCTTTTTTTTTTTTTTTTTTTTTTTTTTACATTTTATCACAAAATTGTCATAAACCATCATAGACCTACATGAAGTAAAAAAAAAAGAATTTTATTATGCACCTGGATCGATAGATCCGTGGCGTATATTGTTTTTGTCCTGTCTGCCTGTCTGTCTGGAAACTTTATCCGTCGCCATAACTTTTGAGCCAAGAAAGATAGAGACTTCATGTTTGGCCTGCATACTTCACCAATTAAGCTCTTTCAAATGACACCGAGGCAAATGAACTTGTGACCTTGACTGTGACCTATATTCTAAAAATAACCTTCGTTATAACTTTTGAACCATGAAAGATAGAAATTTCATATTTTGTAAGTGTTTTACACTAATTAAGTTCATTTAATGACACCAAGATCAATGACCTTGATTTTGACTGTGACCTATATGCTAAAAAAGCTTTTTCTTACATTCGCCATAACGTTTGATACATAGACGATAGAGACTGTATATTTGGTATGCAAACATCGCCACTCAAGTTGTTTCAAATGGCAGCAAGGTCAATGCCATTGACTGTGACACGTACATATATGATAAAATAGCTTTTTCATACCTTTGTCATAAATTCTGAACCATAAGATAGAGACTTCATATTTGAGATGCATACTCTACTAATCAACTTCTTTCAAATGAAAGCAAGGTCAATTGCCTTAATTTTGACCAATATGCTTTAGCGAAGCTTTTTTCGAAATTTGTTGCCGCTGGGCGCATTGTGTTTCACAAACACATCTTGTTTTGAATTGCATGTGTCCTTTTTAGTATAATTTGAACCATGTCTGACTATGTAATTTGTAAATGAGTACTCCTTGTAAAATTCATATGCAACCATGCCTTCAAATTAGGAGCGGTTGTTAAAAATTCTGATAAATGCGAAATCTACAAATATAAAGATATAATATGAGATGCAACTCAAGAGACCCGATAACATTTTTAGGTTGTGATTAAAAGCGAGGATGAGATTGATCTCTCTTTCTTGAATTATAAATGCATAGAGTACCGCATGGAGGGTTTGATTTTGGAGGGTTCCTACCGTGCCTAGGACTTACTAGGACAGTGGAGATCCACAAATAGCTCCTTTTTAATAGCCCCCCCCCCCAAGGAATTTCACTACAGTAGTAAGAAATGTGATAAATATCATAGCTACTTATGTGTTGAATAACGCTTCACCAATAATATGTTCCCGCTATTGATTTAAATAAGGAGGCATAAAAGAGGTAAAAATGAGATTGAATGTTCAATATGATATGTCTTCATGTTTTTGATCAAAATAAGATATTCTGATCACTGCTTTTCTCCATAGTACACAAAATAATAATAATAATAATAATAATAATATCAATGATTCTTTTAATAGCAATATAATAATACTGTGTCATGTGTACAAACAAAAATTATGAAAAAAAAACATGTCAGTTTTCTAACAAACGAAGTCTTAAAAGATGGCATTTTTAATGCCCACAATAAAGTACAACATAATTTTAAACATACCCAAGATACATTGTTAGCAAAGTGAATTAGGGTCAGAAGGATTGCAACCCGATCTGTAAGATAATGTTTTATAAGAGTATGAAGGTTTATTAAGGTAAACTGGTAACCGCATCTTTCCTCCTGTATAGGAGAGGGATGATCCAGCAACTGCAGGTTTCTGCCAGTATCCACCATTTCCACAAGCAGGATCTTTGCTACCAGGTGCACATCCATTTCCGTTGCCATTTCCATAATATCCATGACCATTTCCACCATTTCCATTGCCATTTCCATTTCCACAACCGGGACCTTTTCCGTCAGGTCCACATCCATTGCCGTTACCATTACCATTTCCATATTTTCCATTACCACCATTTCCATTGCCATATTCGTTGCCATTGCCATATCCATTGCCATTTCCATTTCCACATCCGGGTCCTTTTCCGTCAGGTCCGCATCCATTGCCGTTACCATTACCATTTCCATATTTTCCGTTTCCACCATTTCCATTGCCATTTCCATTACCATTTCCATTTCCATTTCCACATCCGGGCCCTTTTCCGTCAGGTCCGCATCCATTACCATTACCATTTCCATTTCCATATTTTCCGTTTCCACCATTTCCATTGCCATTTCCATTACCATTTCCATTTCCACTTCCACATCCGGGCCCTTTTCCGTCAGGTCCGCATCCATTGCCATTACCATTTCCATATTTTCCATTACCACCGTTTCCATTGCCGTTACCATTACCATTTCCATATTTTCCACTACCATTTCCATTGCCATTTCCATTACCATTACCATTTCCACATCCGGGCCCTTTTCCATCAGGTCCACATCCATTGCTGTTACCATTGCCATTTCCATATTTTCCATTACCACCATTACCATTGCCATGTCTGTTACCATTACCATTTCCATTTCCACATCCGGGCCCTTTTCCATCAGGTCCACATCCATTGCCATTACCATTACCATTTCCATATTTACCATTACCACCATTTCCATTGCCGTTACCATTACCATTTCCATATTTTCCGTTTCCGTTACCATCACTATTTCCATTTCCACATCCGGGCCCTTTTCCATCAGGTCCACATCCATTGCCGTTACCATTACCATTTCCATATTTTCCGTTTCCACCATTTCCATTGCCATTTCCGTTACCATTACCATTTCCACATCCAGGCCCTTTTCCGTCAGGTCCGCATCCATTGCCGTTACCGTTGGTATTGCCATTTTTTCCATTACCACCATTTCCATTGCCATTTCCGTTACCATTTCCATTTCCACATCCGGGCCCTTTTCCGTCGGGTCCACATCCATTGCCGTTACCATTGCCATTTCCATACTTTCCATTACCACCATTTCCATATTTTCCATTACCATTACCATTTCCATATTTTTCATTTCCATTGCCATTTCCATTCTTGCAACCGGGCCCTTTTCCGTCAGGTCCGCATCCATTGCCGTCGCCATTACCTTTTCCATATTTTCCATTTTTTCCATTTCCATTGCCATTTCTTTTACCATTACCTTTTCCATATTTTCCATTTCCATTGCCTTTTCCATTTCCGTTACCTTTACCTCTTCCCTTTCTTTTTCCATATCCATCTCTGCAACCTTTTCCCCGACATGTAAGTGCCTTTAGAATTTTAGAATATCTTTTCTTGCCGTTTTTCTTCCCATTTCTGCCATAACCACCGTATTCGGAATCATCATCATCATCATCATCATCATCATCATCATCATCATCATCATCATCATCATCATCATCATCATCATCATCATCATCATAATCATCATCATCATCATCATCATCATCATCACTGTCAGATCCACTACTTGAGCTGCCACTTGACCCACTGCTTGATCCACTTCCTGATTCACTACTTGAATCACTGTCACTGCTAGACCCACTATCCGAATCACTTCCTGAGCTACTGTCAGATCCAGATCCAGATTTAGAACCTGAACTGCTTTCACTGCTCCCACTATCTGATCCACTTCCAGATCCGCTATCGGAGCTACAGTCTGATCCACTGCCAGATCCGCTATCGGAGCCACTGCTGTCTGATCCACTTCCAGATCCGCTATCGGAGCCACTGCTGTCTGATCCACTTCCAGATCCGCTATCGGAGCTGTCTGATCCACTTCCAGATCCGCTATCGGAGCCACTGCTGTCTGATCCACTTCCAGATCCGCTATCGGAGCCACTGCTGTCTGATCCACTGCTAGATCCACTATCGGAGCTGTCTGATCCACTGCTAGATCCACTATCGGAGCTGTCTGATCCACTGCTAGATCCGCTATCGGAGCTGTCTGATCCACTGCTAGATCCGCTATCGGAGCCACTGCTGTCTGATCCACTGCCAGATCCGCTATCGGAGCCACTGTCTGACCCACTTCCGGAATCGCTACTTGAACTACTGTCTGATCCACTCCCAGAAGAATCACTTCCGGAGCTTCCACTTTCATCTCCGTCATCGTCGCCATCGTCACCATCGTCTCCATAGTCATAGTCATAATCGTCGTCATCTCCCTCTCCGTCATCGTCCCCATCATCTTCTCCGTCATCGTCACCGTTGTCGTCTCCTCCGTCATCCCCTTCTCCGCCGTTACCCCCGTCTCCTCCGTCTCCGCCTTTTCCTCCATTGCCTCCGTATTTCAACAAATTTTTATATTTTGTTTCCCCTTGTAAAAGAATTCAATATATCTGTTTAAATCATACTTAAATAAACTTATCATCAATTTTGTTATGTCTGACAAAGTATAGAAACTTATTTCACAATTTCTTATACAATTATTAACACGAGTATCAAGGGTACATGTATGTTGCTGTGTCGAACCTTTATCTGGAGGAATGCAAGATTTGTGACGTCTCTTTGAAAGTTCTTTGCAGTGTAAACAAGCACAGTACTTTTGTTTTTTAGGAGTTTGTTAATGTACACAACCCTAATCTGTCTGCAGCTAAGATTATTTTAAATAAAAGAGAAAATTTGAATTGCATTTTTAAAATCAATTGTAAATTTATTCATAGATTAAAATGTACTTAAAAAAGAGAAATGAAATGTCAAATTGTAAATTAATTATTTTGAGGTTTGAGTAAACCTGGTCAAGAAAATGTGCTTTCATGAGTGATCTGATATCCTTTTTGAAGAATTAAATCATTCATCTATCTAATTTCATGATAAACCATGGTAGATAGTTTTTCTTACAAATTGAAAACAAGTTTAAATAAACATTATTCTTAGACAATTATGCCCGATCATTATCTGGGGTTAATATTCCACACAATAAAAGATGGCGACATTTTCAAAATTTCAGTTTAGATAGTGATAAAAACAATATTGATAAGACTTAAAAAGGTGACTAGTTCCTACTTTACTTACAATCAATCTCACATCCACAACTAGATGCAGAATAAACTTCATCGGAAGCACAACTCCTTTGTCTCCATCTTCCTCTGACTTTCTCTTCATATTTACACTTGTCTCCTTTATTTGCCCTCTTTCTACACCCTGTGATTAATATGAAGCTTTATTGCACAGGTTTTATTTCCATTGCATGGCTTTAATTGTTAACGTGGTTGATTCTTTTAAGTGACTAGCGGCAAGCAGAATCCGCTATATCAACTGTCTTGTATATTATACGTTTACATTTTGCACAATCAGATTGCGCTAAATCAAATATACTTATTGAAAAATGAATTTCCGAAAGATATTGTACATACCAACTTTAATACATTTAGAGAAATAATAATTAATTAACTTCATTTCATAAAGTGATACCTTTTTATTATCATAAAATTAAAAACATAAAGTCAGAAATTTTTTCTTTTACTTTTTTATCATTCTAGATTGTGTTTTTCGTTTACTCAGATTATATTTAATTTTGCATGGTCATGGAAAAAACTCACTTTTTTTTGCCAGTGCATCTCCTACGATGAGGCAAATAAGCAACAGGAGCAGTAAAGTCCGCATCTCCTGATAAACCCAAGTGGACGATTCTCTAAAATGATTAGAGAAGAAATGAGAATTGTTTATAGGGCGTTATAGAATTTGATCACGTGACCGACTTCATGTCATACACCAATGAAACTCTAAAAATGTATATCATTAATTTTATTTCTTAAATGAAATCCCAAACCTCTTTTAGTATATGTATCTGAAAAAGTAATCACCAAAATATAAGAATAATGTTACTTATTTACTATAGTAAATGTTGTACAATAATTTTTCTTTTTAGGATGGATCATTTATTTAAAATTAATATTGCAAAGAAAATAACAAAAGGACATAATTGTCCAAACAATGAGTTTTCAACATTCTAACGTTTTACAGACATGGAAATAGAGTGATTATTCCTAAGTCTTTACAAATTTTATTGTAATGTACTTTTAAGTCCCTCATTAAAGTTACAAAATTGCACCTGGTCCAATTTCTGATGACCAGAGAGGTTCGCTTTTTGCCCTGCTACCATTTTTGTTACAGTGATTTCTTTTTAGACTTGATGATGTTTTAAAATGTGTTTAGAAGTCGAAAATTAAATTTAAAAGACTGTCTTCATAAATGCACACCTGAGTATTTTTTAAAACACAAAATGTTATTAATGTGTTTATATCTTATGAATAAAATTAACATTTCATTTTGATTTAAATTTTGCTATAGTCAACCAATTTGTTAAATCTTCATCAAATATAGAATAGAATCATTAAATCGAATTTAGTGTTTAAAAACTAATCCATTGGAAGTTGGCATTGACAGACAATAAAAGTTCAAGAATAATAGTACAGCTTACTAAATTCAAATGTATAAAACATCCAATATAATTCTGTTATCCTACATGAGTCATAATGATCTCCTTATTACAACGTAATAATATCCTTTATATCAGATGAGAAAAAAATCAAATATTTAAAAAAAATAAAAGTATTTTTTAATGAGAGTTATTTATTATTTTGAAAATAGCTCTGGAAAAAATCAAAGTGAAACCATACACAGTTAGTGAATTGATTTAAAATAAAAAAAAACAAAACTTGTGATTATGAAAATCTAATTTGCATGGATTCCCAGGTTGCATAAGAACCTATGGATCTATAGTATATATTTTAAAAGCACTTATAGAAACTTGAACAAAAAAATGGAAGTAAATTAAAAATAAATTGAAGAAAATCTCACCAGTTCGGTATATTTATCTGTCTTCCCACTAGCTGTTTACAGGATTGCGTTCGAAAGGATACAATTCTTTCCAAGGGAATGCTCCTTTATATATGTTTTCCAGAAAGGTGAATCAGGTCAACCTTTCTAAGGCAACTGAATATGATAACGAGGGGCGGGCACTACGCACAGGAAACTGCAAATTATGATGAAGAACCAAGCACTGTTCCTGAATGCAAATTCTCTCCAAAAATAGTGGGTTGGCATTAATTGCAAAAATTCGACTACTGTAGTTGTTAATTACTTGGAATACGTACCACATTGCTGATTTTTTTTGTTTTTTGACTCTTTAAACTCTGAACGTTAGAAGACTCCTGTTTGTTTTGTCTAGGTACATGATATGCATTTATCATCGTCTAATAATATCTAATTACAGGTCATAGCAATTAATTTCATGATTTAAAAGAGAAACATAGGAAATGCATATAGCATTCCTGTAAGATTTTCTTTATTTGTTACCTGTGATCGTTATAAAAGTGCATGTTGGCTGCTTTTTTTTTTGTCTTTGTTATATGTTTAATATTTGCACCATTTTGAATCAAATGTAATCAACAATATGTGCGAACTATTCATGGATAAGGTTGCAACGAAAGAAGATGTTATATCAAAGCCTTTTAAAGATGATTTTGTGAGCTGAATAATGTAATACATAATGTTCTAACTTGCCCAAATTCTTTGGAATGAAAAAAAAAATGGATTGCAGTTTTGCATCACGGAGCCCTCTTCGAGTATCCAAATTTGGTAAGAATTTTGGCTCTCATTGTCCACTGTTTAACTATTTGCTCACAGTTCATCCTGAGTTGTTCTATTGACTTTTTTCCTGCTTTGTTATCTACAGGTTGATTTAGCAATGTGCGTAGCTTTTCCATAGTTCTTAAGTATGCGCACATAAGTTTCATTTTTCATATATTGAGAGAAATCAATCATTAAAGACATTACTGAATTTGGTAGATTTTTTGTATATCTCGAAGATATTTTGCAATAATGCAAATTAAAAAGTATCTCACTGAGAAATATTAATCTCGGTTAGAGTAAAATACAAATAACGAGGGTCGGTCAAAAATGCTAATGGTAATCTAAACTTAAGAAAAAGTATGACAAGCAAATTATTTATTATTTTCTTATTCCCAAAGTGATCCATGTTGTCCTTCACGTATATCTTTGTATTCATTACCAGAAAACCCCTGTATTCTAACCTTAAGAGATGCCCCAATGATAATGATCAATAACACCTAATTATATGTTTAGATCAACTGTATCTCTTTACAATAATTATACTACATTTTATTCTTTTTATATATTTTAATTCGTGTAAATTGAGTGATTTTAAATTTTCTTTTTGATTTTGATTCTTTTTAACATATCTCATAATCCCACTTTGGTTATGTTCAGATGATACTGTTTAATGTGCAAGACTGGTATTGTGTGATTTAAAAAAAAAACACCACGTAGTTAATGCTTTTAAGAAATTTCACTGTCTACATAAAAATCATGACATTTCTATACATATTTAAAAATTTCTTGTAATTTAATTGAAAACTAAATGTGTTTTCAAATACTTTCCCATCTTCAGTCATATGACTCCTTCATATAGTCAAAACAATTGAATCGAAGTCTTTAAATTCCAAAGACTAAAGAAGAGCGAAGGTTCAATTTAATTACAACATAAAAATAGAAACAAATGAATTCTGAAGCTTGTTACGAGAAGGTGAAAACAAATTTCTATCGAACAAAAATAAGGAAAATAAATTGCTTGAGATATAAAATATAAAAATCAAAATTATTGTTTGAATTTCTATGATTATGTAAAAGATTGGAAAAAACATTGTAATTGTTGAGAGCAAATTTTAGAAAACGTACTTGAAATACTATCCCTTACTCGAAATAAATTATCGTTTGAACACCAACTCGAGAAATAAAAAAATCGATTTTTGAAAATTATTTGCAAAAATACAGGAAAAGAACTGTAGAATAACATTCTATCCGCGAATTGATATTTTCGCAAGTTTAATTACTACCCGGATTTATGTAGTTATATCTATAGAGTGCGTGTTGTTTAACGTCCCAATGCGATTTTTTTACTTGTATAGAAATGACACCCTCTAGTGGCGAAGGAATTTGAATTAAGACCTTTTGATCCTTTCTTTGCATAAGGGAAGCGAAAGTCCTTAAGTTTCCCAACGCCTATTGTGACAGGATCCTTGGTTATACGGGTCTCCTTAAAAAAGACCATTGAATAGTATTCTGTCACCTGGTGTACTCTCCAAAAGTATGCATTCTAATGATAGCAAATATAGACAAAGATTACAATACGTCATGAAACCAAAGAGAAAAAATTTGTTTAGCAAATAGTTAAAGAAAATGAATTTTATGAAAATCAAAACATAATATTGTGTTGACTGAAGCAAAATACCTGTATATCTTGAAATTTAAGAAATTTAATCTATCCATTATATTTTTAAAGCATGTGTGTCTAAAGACACGAATTTAAAGAAGAACATTTGTTCTTAAGAAGGGAATACTTGAATATGTCAATAAGGAAATTGTTTTCTTGAAGAATGGGGACATGCATGAATTTATGTATAAATCAGGAATGGTTTCTCCTCTGAAGCATTAATGGTGGAATTTTCCAGGGTGTGTGTTTAATGCTTTCCCAACAATTTTGTATTGTTTGTTGTTTTTGTGTAACCGCTCACTGTTCCATTTTCTACATCATTTTCTTCAGGATAGTCAGAATTTAGTGAATTCTTTTTCATTGACAGAATAGCTAAGTGATAAATAAGCACATTCTGGCATTGCCTTTAATTGTATTTGATTCAATCATATACCAGAAGGAACTTTATAATTTGCGGATAAAAAGCAGTTGAAAAGGTGTTAAATGTATGTGGACTTTTCTAGTCTTTGATTGATTGATGTGATTTGAAAATCTTCGTATCTTTTCATCAAAAACTTGTAACATTTCTTTTGCTGTAACAATAGATTTCATAAGAATTTGATTTACTTCACTTCAAAATTAATATGTTTTAACCACGAAGGACACTTAACGACAATGTAACGTCATACACAAAGCATCAAGAAATTCTCAAAAATACTTTCCTTATACACTTCACACAATATTGTCCAATACCCACTGAGAAAAGACCTTTCTCTATAACTTGACATTTATCTTTCTAACAACTGTTCTCATTGTGTAATTTCCCTAATTAGTTTGTCAATGTTTTAATTTGTTTTACAAGATCAGCAACCATGAAGTGCCTAAGTCTTTCACTGAGGTTCCAGAGTTCTAGAATTTTTGTTAATATTTTCACAGTTAAATCGTTTCTTCACAGGTTTTTCTCGTTCTATACAGAGTCTCTGTCACTCGAATACTTCACGTACCATAAACACTCATGCACCTCTAGATTTTGGCAAATTTTTTATTCCTCTAACATTCTAGAGCTTATGCAGGAATTTCCCCTTGTATAACATAAAATTCAATCGTTATCTCCTGCTTCTTGAGGTTCTACAATTCCAATTACATTGTTTTCGTTGTTTTCAATGAGGACTACTTATCTTCCCAAATTGATTTCTTTTCAACGAAGTAAAATATTATGTCATGATTTGGAATATGAATAAATACAACTAAGATTTTAAATTAAGATTTTAATTTTTGTTCCCTCCATTTTACAGAGAATATGACAACAGACTTCATTTAGTGTATTTTTTAAAAATTATATTTGATTCTGGATACGTTATATTTTTTTTATAATACAAATCATTTGAATTTATTAAAATATTTCTACTAGATTTGAATAATATTTGACATTGAATATAGAAAAAAGATATGACATAATTACCTGAACTTTTCTAACAGTCTTGTACATCTTATTGGTTGAAATTATAATATATAACAGAGAGAGTTTATATCTGATATCTTTTGTCATATAATGACATGGTGTCCTTGGTCATCAGGGTATGCCTACTCTTCATAACACCTGATTCTTTTTCTTCTGATGTCTTTAGAGGTCCATGTTGTAGCAGCTACTTCCGATTTGTATTTTACTTGAATATTTGACCGTGTTATCTGTTCGTTGTCTTCATAGTTTATGGTGGCATATTTATGCCATCCACATAAGTTTAAGTCAACATAGCATATCGTGTAAAGTCAAGATTACTATCTCATCAAATCATGATAATTTTCCGATTTGTCGTCAAACACCGACTTTTATCTTGGACAGTCAACATGAGCTATTATATTTTTGCGATACTATCTCAACAAAAAGAGAAAATTTATCTTGTATCGTGACTATAATTTATCTCATCATATCAAGATAGCTTTTGCAACAAATGTGATAGTTTTTCTTGACTAGACAAGATATAAAGTCTGTGTTTGTTGACAAACAAGAAGTTAATCATGACTTATGAGATAGTTATCTTGATTTTACATGATATGCTATGTTGACAAAAAGTTTTGTGGATGGCATAAATATGCCACCATAATAATCCATAATAGATATTGAGCATAGATAGCCTAGATACAATAGACTGACTGACGTTTTGCATACTAATTGTTAGTCCATTATTTATAAACTGAATTGACGACGGATTTTTACCGTTATTTCATGACAAGGAGCACACGGCTGGTGTGACCGATCGGCAGGGGATGCTCACTCCTCCATGGCACCTTACCCACCTCTGTTTTAGAGGTCCATGTTTGCTCTGCTCCTGTTTTGTATTGTTTTATGGACTTTTATATTGAATACTGTTCGTTATCTTCATACCCTTAATACAGTATAATTTTAAATATATAGTTGCAATATTCATTAAAAGGATTGCTATAATTTGATGGAATATATTATTAAAATTAAAGATTTTTTTCGCAGAAAATATATTTTTAACGCGTAACTGTTTATATCAGCTACATTTATTAATGCGACAATTAGACTTTATTTAAACTTAAACAATTTTCTTTTATTTATGAATGTATATATATTTGATAA